TCAAAACCTTTTTTTCATAAAGATGGTTTTCAGAGTTTAAATTCATGAATTGCGTTTTTTTTTTAATAACTTTTATTCTTTGCTCACAACAATAATGGATCAAAGTTTACTCCATACTAAATTATAAGGGTTTGATGTCATTAAAACCTAGAATGGCTAATTGTATAAACATAATTAAAACCTAGTTGAGTTATACATCGATTCAGCAATAGCAACAATAATTTAAACATTTAGATCATAATATGAACTTTTTGTTTGACTATCATTAAGCCATGCTGGGTTTTTTTTTGTTTTGTTACAGCCCAATAATACACAGAATGTATGTGTATGTAGGAGTCAATTTTTGGAGTGATTAAAGTTCCCTTCATTTTGTCTAAGTCTTTATGGATGAACTCTTGAGAAGCAGCTGTGCACTAAACATGCTTTAAGCGTGAAGCTGAAGAACTGGCAACAAGCTTTGGCAGAAGTGTGCACTATAATGAGGCAATGCCAAGCAATTCCTGCTGCTTTCTCTCTCTTAGATGTGTCCCTACAGGCCCACCATACATGTCACCAATGACATGGACCGATGAGTTTGGATGTGCGCTCATGGCAGTGGGTAGCATTTCATCTGCATGTTTTTGAGTTCAAAAGGAACAGTGTACGCAGTGTGTGAACCCTATGTGTTTGCTTGTTTGTGAGTTCTTATTCTAAACACGTGTGTGAGTGTTTGAGCGTCGTCCTTTGGTCGTGGGAGCTTAGACGCTCGGAGCGCAGAGGTTCTCTAATCCAGTGTTTTGAAATGAGCCCTCCAGCTGTTGTGGGCTTGAGAGACTGCAGCCTTGGAGGAGGCTTAGAGATGATGAGATGCTTCTATCTTCACTCTTTTTGAATCTTTATTTCTCTAATGCCTTCTACTTGTAAGTCTGCAGCCATATTAGGACAGTCTTTTACTTTTAAATTCTAAATATAAACTTTTTCCTCGCTTCTGTTAATCCCAGAATAAGAACATAGATTGATTCGGAGCAGGAAGTGAACACTGCACACAGATGACATAAGAAGATCAGATTAGTTTAGTGACTGAAGACATTTGTTGCATTTATAACGACGGCCTCACATTGTGTTTGTCAGAACAGGTAATGGGGCCTCATTAGCAACGTAGTGATGCACACAAGCCGTGAGCAGGTCACGTCGCACTTCTTTCACCGAGCAGTTACACTAAAGAGGAGAATCAAGCTGTTGTAAATGATACATATTGGCATTACAGGGAAATATAATGCCTCTAAGTGAAATTGGCTGCATTATTCATAGGGAGTCTTCTTCATGGACAAGTCTCCTGTGCCCGGGAGCCTATCTCCCATTGGCCCATCACTGAGGCTGTAGGGCTTGTGAAGTCTGGCAGCAGAAGGAAAGAGTAGGAAGTACGGGGGGGTGGGGGGGTTCAGGCAGACAGGCAAGCAGGGATCAACAGGCAGTAGAACAGACAGAGCAGGCCAACTTTATTCAAAGCCAAAATCTCCTAAAAATAATCTTATAAGCTTTAAATTCTTTATAAGCAGGCTGATGGAGTTAAGTTTGTTCCATTGTTGAAGCATAAAAATATCAACGGTAACTTAAAAAAATGCAATCCAGAAAATAAATTTTGAAAAGCTTCTTAAAATAGAAAAAAAGGTTTTGAAAGTAACTTTGCTGTTTTCTTCGATTTTATTTTTCAAATCTATTTTTTATTGAATTTTGTCATATTTCAGGGTTCCCGCGGGTCCTTAAAAAGTCTTAAAAGGCATTGAATTCTTTAAAATAAAACTAAGGCCTTAATTGGCATTAAAATGTCTTAAATCAGTCTTTTGTAGGTCTTAATTTTTAAAACATCATAAATAGGATTATTTTTATCATGATTTATTTTTGTAATCTAAATAAAACATTAAAATTGACCTTTTTTTTTTTTTATTTTAAAAAAAGAATGGCTCGCCATTATTGGTTCCGTCCCGATAGCGGAACCAATAAAGCGTTGTTGCGGCCGAAAATTGTCTCCAGCCAAGAGTTTTCTCCATGGCTAAAACCAGGGAACATACATGAGGCTCAGTGGATTTTGTGCAAGAAG